TTGAAACATTTCAATAATTATCAATTTTGGCGTAAATACTGCGACTCAGTGTTGGCTTTGCTTTCAATTTCAACCGGAATGGTAGCAAACAGTCGTCCAGTTTATAGCCATTCATAGCACATACCTCTTGGATATGCCAGTGCTGTTGGTTCAGGCGATTCATGTCTAATGCAAACTCAATCTCTTTGGCTTTCATCGCTATTTCAAACAAAAATACAAAATATTTTATAATTTGGAAAAATAATTGCTGTCCTTTATTCCCATTTGTTAATATTAGCATCAGAATTTTATGCAAGCACATTTATTATTAGTTACTTAATTACAGCTTGAAAATAAATTAAATAGATTTTATAACTATAATAAAAGTGTTAATTCATTACAAAATTTATGATAATGCTTATGTTATGATAATAACCAGTATACTTAAAACACTTTAAAACTATAAACATCAAATAAATTAAACAATTACTCAATTTCAGTTTGTAAAGTAGCTTTCTCATTTTCATTTTCATAAAACAATAAAATATGTCATTTTAAAGTAAATAATTAAATAAATTTACCATGTCTAAAAATTTTAAGTCAATATCTGTTAATTGGGCAAAAAGTTTGTTTTCAAAATTATTTTTTACAATAAATTTACAAATCATGTGATAATAACGCATACCGTTAGGCACATCCTGTTTATTAGCCAACACGACGACCACCACGTCCTCCATCTCCCTGTCCATCGCAATCGTATGCAACACATCCCTGGCCTCATCCATACGGCACCGGTCGCTGGCGTCCACGACAAATATCAGGCCATAAGTACCCGCGTAATGGTTGCGCCATAAATCCCGGAACCTTTTACTACCCCCGCAGTCCCATAAGGTATACGACTGTCCCTTATATACCATTTGATAGACAGTATACCCTTTGGTGGGCAATACTGGACGTACGTACTTCTCGTTGCCATATATGAGTCTATTAGCTATGAATGTCTTTCCACTCGAGTCCAGTCCCACCATTAATAGCCGCTTATGATTATGGCTATAGTTATGGTGATTTAGTTTTGACTTAATTGTGCCCATAGTTAGGAGCAAGATACTTTTTATCACAATGAATTAATTGTTATACAGCTAAATACGATGTTAGTTACAAATATTTATTTAAACAATAGTTTATTAAATTAATAATTTTATAAAAATGTTAATAATTTTTATTGTTTTAATATGTATTCTGTATTGAATTGTATGTAATTTAATATTAAGATACCTAATATGCAAATATTTTTTGTACACCCCCACTACTCGCCCCCATATAAATATTTGTAAATTAATTATTGTTAATATAACTTTAAACGTTTTATAAATGCTTTATATCCATAACTTTTTATGTTTTATTATTTTTTAAATTTATTATTAATTTTACACAATTTTGTGTTTTGTTTCAATGATTTATCGCTAGTTTATTATTTTAATAACAATTTGCTAATTAATTTCAATGCATTTCACAATTATATGCATTTCACTCAACACTACAATTAAAAACCCGTAACTAATACACAAGTCATTGAAAATAAATAGCGTTTTTCACACATTCATAAAGGTTTTGATATTAAAATAAAAACAAAATTAAACAAAAAATATTAAAAATGTTAATACAATTTCTATGTCTAGTATTTCAATACTCATTAAAATAATACATTAAATTTGCTTTCAATTGTCGTATTTTTACTACCTTTCCATAATGCTGTAGCACTTGTATTATAATGAATGGCGAGTATAAATAAAATAAAAAGTTTTTATTTAATAAAATACTCATAAAATGCTTTTCACTGGTAATTAGGGTCAAGTATATACGGCTAGTGTTGAGTGTATGGGCGCACAGGTATGCTAAGTGATACCGACTCTCTCTCTCTCTCTCTCTCTCATGTCTCTCACATTCACTGGTATTTTGATTAAAAAGATTTAATTTTTTAGTTTTGTTTTCAATTTTTACGAGTTTTCGAGAGAGAGAGAGAGAGAGTCATATTATGTTTAATGAGTTTTGATACCATTTTTGGTGGCATTTCGTGAAAACCTCTGAGAAAAACATAAATAAAAAACTTTTTTTTCGAAAACAAATAAAACATTAATAAAAATACATTTCGTTTTAACGATTCAAATGTCAATAAATGCATACAAAATGTTTAAATAGTTTTTATTTAGTTTTTAGTTTGTGTTTCACTTTCAAAAACTTTCAAAAAGCATCAATTTTCATATGATTAGTATCGGGGTACAAATATTTAAAATGCAATAAAAAGTAAAGTTTCAAAAGTCGTATAAAAAACTATTTTCAGAGACGACACGAAAAAATACTTTTAATTTTTATTTGCGTTTAACAGACGTATAAGACGTTGAAGGGAAAGGTATGTCTAACAGGGAATGCCATTTAAAACAGAAATGCACATTAAAATAGTGCCAACATTTTTATGCCCATATTATACACAAATGCACTAGGATACATTATGTGTTTATGTGTTATATAGGAATTCCTATCCAGATATCACTCATATAATGGGAAAGGTACCCTAAAAATCCTTATCATAAACTATTTTGTGCTTGCTAATCAATTCGTTTCATACAAATATCTATGAAAAGTTTTAACAACTTTTTTTCACTCATGAAAATCAAAATCACACATAAATTGATTGGTTTTAGTATAAAGTATTAACATTTCTACCATTCCTTGCATAATANCTCTCTCTCTCTCTCTCTCTCTCGAAAACTCGTAAAAATGGAAAACAAAACTAAAAAATTAAATCTTTTTAATCAAAATACCAGTGAATGAGAGAGACATGAGAGAGAGAGAGAGAGAGAGAGAGAGAGAGAGCCGGTATCACTTAACATACCTGTGCGCCCATACACTCAACACTAGCCGTATATACTTGACCCTAATTACCAGCGAAAAGCATTTTATGAGTATTTTATTAAATAAAAACTTTTTATTTTATTTTATTTATACTCGCCATTCACTATAATACCAGTGCTACAGTACTATGGAAAGGTAGTAAAAATACGACAATTGAAAGCAAATCTAATGTATTATTTTAATGAGTATTGAAATACTAGACATAGAAATTGAATTAAAATTTTTAATATTTTTTTGTTTAATTTTGTTTTTATTTTAATATCAAAACCTTTATGAATGTGTGAAAAACGCTATTTATTTTCAATGACTTGTGTATTAGTTACGGGTTTTTAATTGTAGTGTTGAGTGAAATGCATATAATTGTGAAATGCATTGAAATTAATTAGCAAATTGTTATTAAAATAATAAACTGGCGATAAATCATTGAAACAAAACACAAAATTGTGTAAAATTAATAATAAATTAAAAAATAATAAAACAATAAAAGTTATGGATATAAAGCAATTATAAAACTTTTTAAAGTTATATTAACAATAATTAATTTACAAATATTTATATGGGGGGGCGAGTAGTGGGGATGTACACAAAATATTTGCATATTAGGTATCTTAATATTAAATTACATACAATTCAATACAGAATACATATTAAAACAATTTATAAATTATTAACATTTTTATTAAATTATTAATTTAATAAACTATTTATTAAATAAATATTTGTAACTAGCATCGTATATAACTGTATTACAGTTAATTCATTGTGTTAAAAAAAGTAGCTTGCTCATAACTATGGGCACAATTAAGTCAAAACTAAATCATCATAACTATACCCATAATCATAAGCGGCTATTAATGGTGGGACTGGACTCGAGTGGAAAGACATCCATAGCTAATAGATTCATATATGGCAACGAGACGTACGTATATCCAGTACTGCCCACTAAAGGCTATACTGTATATAAAATGGTATATAAGGGACAGTCGTATACTCTATGGGACTGTGGGGGAAGCAAAAGGTTTCGGGATTTATGGCGCAACCATTACGCGGGTACTTATGGCCTGATATTTGTCGTGGACGCCAGCGACCGGTACCGTATGGGTGAGGCCAAGGATGTGTTGCATACGATTGCGATGGACAGGGAGATGGAGGACGTGGTGGTCGTCGTGTTGGCTAATAAACAGGATGTGCCTAACGGTATGCGTTATTATCACATGATTTTTAAATTTGTTGTAAAAAATAATTTTAAAAATAAACTTTTTGCCCAATTAACAGATATTTATTTAAAATTTTAGCATTGCATTGTAAATTTATTTAATTATTTACTTACAACTGACAAAGTTTATTGTTTTATGAAAATGAAAATGAGAAAGATACTTTACAAACTGTAATTGAGTAATTGTTTAATTTAAATGATGTTTCTAGTTGTAAAGTGATCTAAATACAATGGTACGCCCCCAAATAAAAATTTTCACAAATTGTGTTGAGAATTACCACTTTTGTTACATTTATAAAATCTCGTTAATTTATTTGCAAGCTGTAATTAAGTACCTAATAATAAATGTGCTTGCATCAAATTCTGATGTTAATATTACCAAATGGGAAATCGAGAACTATTTTTCCTAATTATAAATATTTTTAAATTTTTGTTTGAAATAGCGATGAAAGCCAAAGAGATTGAGTTTGCATTAGACATGAATCGCCTGAACCAACAGCACTGGCATATCCATGAGGTATGTGCTATGAATGGCTATAAACTGGACGACTGTTTGCTACCATTCCGGTTGAAATTGAAAGCAAAGCCAACACTGAGTCGCAGTATTTACGCCAAAATTGATAATTATTGAAATGTTTCAAAAATTGTATTAATTTCTATGTAATTAACAATTTACACCTTGTAATAAATTATTTCTAAATATACCCGTGTTATAACTTTACGATATGTTTAAATATTGGTTTAAGTTACAATCGATGCTATGTTTTTGATTTTTAAAATATCTGATATATACGTATAGAAACAATACAAATAATAAGAATTATTAACATCTTTATAAAACTCTTAATTAAATTAACTAATAAATGTATAAATTTTTGTAACTAGCATCATTAAAACTGTTATCTGTAAGGTAGCTCTAACTATGGGCACAATTAAGTCAATACTAAATACCAATTCATAACATCCATAGCTAATAGACTCATACTGTATATGGCGGCGAGACGTATGTACGACCAGTACTGCCCACCAAATGACATATAAGCGACAGTCGTATATCCTATGGGATTACGAGATACTCGTAAAAGGTTCAGGGATCTATTGAGGGAAAATTCAGGGGTTCAGGGAAAATTGGAATCTAAATGGGGCAGCAACTTTTTCAAATTACTTAATATTTTGTTTTAAATAGGGATGAAAGCAAAAGATATTGAGTCTGTATTAAATGGATTATACCAGACTCCTTGGAGCCTAATTGTTACACGTTTTTAATATCCTTCATATGAATTGCTCACAAATATTGTACACATTAGTGTGAGTGAGAGTTATAAAGTATTAACTGGAAATTATAAACTGTAATTTTTAAATAAAGCATTTATTTTAGTATTTATATGTCTAAAATATTAAATAATTCATAGAAATTAGTTTCTATCAGTTAAGTTTGTGAATATTTTTAAAACTCTTATTCTCCAT